ATTGGCCAACTTCTCCGTCAGGAAAAATGCCACGACAGGAACGATAGCGACAGCGAATACGACAGCGATAGCGAAAGCGAAAATCCAACTCTTTTTGAGCCTTGACAAAGGCTATTTGATTCGGCTTGTGAGAGAGAGAACAATCTAAAGTTACGACAATTTTTATACTTTGTTGTTTTCAATACAGTTGTTTTAATACTAATGCTCTCCGCGCGAGAGGCGACTGGTTAAATACTCTATTCTTCTTCTTTTTCTTTATTCAATGCGTGCTGCCATGTTTTCCCCTCTGTGTCGGGAACCAATCAGCACGTCGCTTGTTCGATGATCATTCGTTCGATGCTGTTGGTGTTTCCTTGCTCAAGCCAAGCCAGAGGCATCGCCAGGAATATATCAAAGCTTGTTTATAGTAGGGTTTGGGGTTAAAATGACACAAATGGTGTTAGTTTGCGGAAGACCGATTTCCCGCGGTCGGCTCGGGGTTAGTAGGATGCCATATGGATTAGGAAAGCGGTTAGGATGATTGACAAAATAATAACAAAACGACTAACAGAACAATAAATCATTACGTTCGCTCTGAGTGCGAACATTCTCCTCCCCGGGCGAAGAAGGGTTTGGATGACAATAGGTTCAACGGGCAGGGGGGCTAGCTTCGAGATGGGACGACGAAGTACTCCATTACTGGTTTGGACATCTGCGACCCTAACAACGGAATCAGCTCCTGGAAACACATCAACAATGCGACCCAGTTTCCACGATTGGGGTGGAAGATTTTCATCTTTTAACAAAACAATCATTCCAGGCTCAATGTTCTTGGATCTTTTCGTCCACTTTAATCTAGTTTGGAGAGTGTTCAAGTATTCACGAGACCATCTTCTCCAGAAATCATCACGCAGGCGTTGAACGAGTTGCCAACGGTTAATGTTCGTATCTTCCAGTGTTGGTTCTGGAATAGCGATAAGTTCACGACCAATAAGGAAGTGACCGGGTGTAATAGCTTCCAGTTCATTTGGATCTGAAGAAAATGGGAATAGGGGCCGCGAATTAAGAATTGCCTCGATCTGTGTTAGTACTGTGTAATATTCCTCGAATGTCAAGGAAGCATCACGGAGAACCTTTTTAAGATGGGTCTTGGTACTTTTTACCCCGGCTTCCCATAACCCTCCAAAGTTGGGGGCTCGAGAAGGAATAAAAGTCCATTTTATTTCACGAACCTGGCAAAACTCGTTCAACTTTCCGTGCAACTGATCACTCTTGAACAGTAAAAACAAATCGCGCAGATCCGATTTTGCCCCAACAAAATTAGATCCATTGTCTGAGAAAACTTCATCAACGAGACCGCGTCGGGAAACAAACCGATGGAGTGCTGCTATAAACGCTGAAGCAGACAAATCCGAAACCAATTCAAGATGGATAGCCTTTGTAGTCATACACACAAATAGACAAATGTAAGCCTTCACAAAAGTAGACTTTCTACCTCCTTGGCGAATGAAGACAGGGCCAGCAAAATCAACTCCCGATTTGGAGAACGGTGGAGCAGGGACGACTCGAACCTCTGGCAAATCACCCATGACCGGTTGCAACAATCTGGGACTGTTGCGGAAACAAGTTGCACAAGTTCGGATTACTTTCTTAACAACAGATCGAGCATTCAAAAGCCAGAATCTTTGACGGGTTAGAGCGATAAGACCGGAAGGACCAATGTGCAACATTTCTTTATGCATAGCTCTAAGCATTGATTCGACGATTGGATTTTTATCTGGAAGTATGATTTGGTGTTTCGCTTCGTAAGACAGGTGGGCATGGCGCAATCTTCCTCCAACTCTCAAGATATCGTCTTTCAGAATGACATTCAAACTGCCAAGACGACGCAAGGGTTCACCTGACTCTAGACGAGTTATTTCGTTAGAAAACTCGGTTTTTTGAACGTATTTTACAATAACGTTCATTGATTCACGCATCTCTTGTACTGTGAGATACTTCGATGTTATACGCTGAGATTTAGTGGACCTCACATTCGCAACGAACCTATGAACATATCCAATTACTCGTTGTAATTTTCGGAAAGAACTGAAAGCAGTCATTACAGGAAGGATATCTGGAATAACCACAGCGGCAGAAGTAGTAGCTGGTTTCAAATCCGGGAGTTTATCATCGGGCATTGGTTCGGGCTCATCAATTTGATAACCATTACTTCGCAAAAAAATGTGGTCCGTACCACCAGAGATCATTCGAAGCAAGTAATTGAGGAGGTTGTCCACGACTTACAACATCAGCAGGGTTTTCATCAGATTGGATGTAATTCCACTTAGCATCGGTGGAATGTTCAACAATTTCTGCAACTCGATTGCGAACGAACGGGTTTAATTGAGCTAGAGGTTTTTTCAACCACGCAAGAACGATCTGACTGTCCGACCAAAAATTAATTGACTGGAATTCCATTTTAACAGCCGGAACAACTTTAACAAACAGTCGAGTAAGCAATAATGCAGCACACAGTTCAGATCGAGGAATGGTTAATCCTTTGATGGGGGTAATTTTGGATTTACTACAGACGAGCAAAATCTTTATTCCATCGTGGGTAACAGCACGGATGTATAAGCAAGCTCCATAAGCATAACTGTTTTTTTTTTTTTAATCTTTATTTTAGAGATTTTTAGCCTGAGGCTAGTTCATCTCTTATAAGCATAACTGGACGCATCTGCAAAACCATGAACCTCGTAGTAAATTGCATCGGAAGCACCAAAATATCTTGGTATTTTGAGTTGGTGCATGTAATTCAAATTGTCACGAAACGTGGCCCAAGTTTGCAGCAATTTACCATCCAAAACGTCATCCCAGTTGAGTTTGCTAATCCAAATTTGCTGCATCAACACCTTTGCAATTACGACAACAGGCGAAACAAGACCAAGTGGATCAAATATTTTCGCGATCTGAGAGAGAACGTTACGTTTGGTTGGTGGTGAATTGGCAAGATTAGGAAGTTCGAAATGGAAACGGTAGACGTCTTCTGATGGATCCCAAAGGAGTCCAAGGGTTTTGATAGCTTGGTTGATATCTGCATCTTCGAACATTAAAAACTTCTCTCTGTCTTTTTCTGGGACCGATTCCAAAATAGCCGGGTGATTCGAACACCACTTATGTATGGGAAATCCGCCACGACTAAGTAGTTCTGTAAGCTTTTCTATAGTTTCAGCCCCTGACAAGACATCGTCAACATAAAAATCTTCTACAACAATTCTTGCAGCGATAGGAAAATAATCACCTTCATCGACAGCGAGTTGCTGAAGAGCCCTTGTGGCTAAGAACGGTGCCGAGGAAGTACCGTACGTCACAGTCGTAAGTTCCAAAACCTGCAATGGATCGTTGGGATTTTCCCTCCAGAATATACGAAGCAACGGCGTATGGATCCTGTCAACTCCTATCTGTCGATACATTTTGCTGACATCAGCGGAAAAGGTATATGGATGCTTACGGAAACGCAGATTAATCGAAAAGATATCGCCCTGAATCACCGGTCCGATCATCAAAGAATCATTCAGAGAGGGTCCATTACCCTTCGATGAAGCATCAAACACCACTCTTAGCTTCGTCGACGAGCTCGTAGGTTTCAACACCGCATGGTGAGGAAGATAATGTTTGAGAAGATTTGGAGGATCTTGAGACTCATCGACCTGAACACAATGATTAAGATTTTTATACTCATTAATAAAATCCACATACTGTCTTTTCAGCTCAGGATTTTTCTGGAACCGTTGTTCCAACATGTAAAATCGACGAAGAGCAATCGTGCGGTTATTTTCCATCTGATGGACAGAATATTTCAGGGGCAGTTGAACAATATATCGACCATCCTGGTTTCGGCGGGTGGTGGAGCAGAAAATTGCTTCGCACCGCTGTTCCTCACTAGTAAGAGGATTACAAGAATCTACAGATTCAACTGACCAAAATTTCTCCATGGATTCAGCAAGACTTTGTAGGCCAACAGTGTAACAATGTTGTTCGACTCGTGAAGAACCAACATCTTCGATGGAACCAGCAACAACCCATCCCAAACGGGTTTCTTGAAGGATTGGGAGATCATCACCAATCTTGTACTGCCCCGGCATCAACAGTTTAAAAAACAGTTGATTTCTCCCGGTGTATGGAAATCTGGATCTGCCAGTGGGATACCAGGAGGGAGTTTCCAATGATTGATATTGATAGGTGTGGATGGCATTAAACCTGCAACCTTGTCTGTAATTAGACACTGCAGTTGTCCACGAAAATCCGAACGAATTTCCAGGTTAACCATCTCGGAGATGGAAGATCGTTGACCATTTGCTCCGACAACCTCAACGTTAGTAGAGAAGCGGGGCAAATTCAACGACTCAATCAGACTATTCGAGACTAGATGTTGTGAACCGCAATCCAAAAATGCTCGGCAAGGAATTAGCCTTCCTGAATCTTAGCTGTCATCAGTAAACTGTTACACAAACGCGGGGATTGTTTCAACGAACAAGACACTGCATTGGTGGATTGCGATTCTGTAGAGACAAACTGGGAATTCAATTTTGGAACGGCTCCTTTCGAGGCGAACGACGACTCAGACTGGGAAGCGGACGGTGAAGTGGGTTTCAAAGTGGACTGAGACACATGTTTATCAGGGTGAAGAAGAGTATGATGTCTACCCTGACATTTGGCACAAGTATGTGGGGAAGGGCATGCACTACATAGATGGCCTACCCTTAGGCAATTGAAACAAGCTTTGATATCTCTTACCTTGGCTTGGCGCTGAGCGATGTCCAACGAACGGAAAGTCTCACACCGGAAGCTCGGATGAGCACCGGTTGCACATAGGTCACAGGTTTGCTCCCTTTTCGTTAAAGCGAAGGTCTTGGCTGACGTATTCTTCGACGTGTTCACAGGATTCTTGGCGGGCGGCGACGACTTTGAGTGGATAACTGGCTTGACCAATGATGATTCCCACCGTTCCAAAACAGCGCAGCGCTTCTGCAGGAAATCTATAGTTTCGGCAATTCCTTATGTGGGATGGAAGATTCCCACTGCAGCCTCGTGTCCTTATCCAAAGCACCAGCTATCAGGTTGACAACGATCCGTTCTGAAACTCCCAGCATCTCTTCTTTCATCAGGCTAAGTCTATCGACGTGTCGGGTGACGTCGTCAATAAGTTCCCTCAGGTCCTTGGCGTTTTCACGGTTTAATGTGTTCAAGTTCAGAAGGCCGTTGACATGAATGTCAACAATCACTCGTTTATTCTCGAAGCGTTCTTCGAGCACTTTGCACGCATGAACGTAATTATTTTCACTCAGCGTTCGGGAATCAATGATCCCAGCAGCTGCACCGACCAATGCTCTGTCGAGATGATATAGCTTTATCGCATCCGAGTCGGCAGACGTCCGCATGACATCAAGAAACATGGCCTTGAAGCGTGGCCAGTTCTCAGGTTTACCGTCGAAGGTTGGAATAGGTGCCTTCAACGGTTGCTGCTGCACAATAATGCGAGGGGTTTGGTCTGAACGTTGAATCGAAAGTGGAATTTGAGATGCATCTTCGGTGTGCTGGATTTCGAATGCTTCATATATTCGATCTTGTTCCTCCATGCCTTCGTCAGAGCACAGCACCATGATTTGATGGTGAAAATCACGATACTCGTTGAAGTAGAGGTCCAACTTTCGGGAGTATACCGCCAGCATCGCCATGTTGGGTATGACGGCATCAGCTCCTGATGCTTCCTCCACAGCTTTGCGTATCCGGGTGACTTGCGCCTTTGCTTGGCCACGCAAAGAAGCCAATGTTTTCATATCTGCTATGTCGGGTTTAGGTTTCTTCCTAGCTGGTGAAGGGTCGACAGGCATTGTTACACTCGCGCACGATATACTCCGAGAGAAAAAATCGGACTTCACTCACAAGTTAATTGATTATTCTAGGTACACTCGCGCGCGACTTACGTACGGTAGAAAATAATCGGACTGTAACTTAACATTCACAATTCACCTCAGCAAGCCACAGAAAATCCAGTCGATTTTCGTAACGGTATCAGCAGGCTCAGGAACAGCTGTGCGACCCCTCGCACAGCAGGGAACAGGAATGAATGTGTTCGGACACGTGCAGAAACCAGAAGCGACGCACCGGATTTTAGTTTTTCAATTTAGAATACTCGGCGACGTGACTTCACTCGCATTACGTTTCACTCGCGAATACTTCGGGGGAAAAAAAACTTCTCTTCTCCAACAAGCCTCGAAAATTCTAAATTCAACTCGGTCGGCTATCTTGTCGCTATCAACTGGAACGGCAGTGCGACTCTCGCAAAGCAAATACTGGAGCAAACGTGTTTGGACACGTTCGAAAAGACGCGCAAACGATGCGGGAGTAGATGTTCGCAATTGGTTGATCTACGACACATCTGTTGTTGCGGCTGCACCACTGGAGGGTGGATCTCTCAGATCCGGTTCGAAGGACCATAAAATGTCCACTCACGGACACTTGGAACAATGTGGCGATCCTTGGCTGAAAGGATCCCAGCAGATTGGCCAACTTCTCCGTCAGGAAAAATGCCACGACAGGAACGATAGCGACAGCGAATACGACAGCGATAGCGAAAGCGAAAATCCAACTCTTTTTGAGCCTTGACAAAGGCTATTTGATTCGGCTTGTGAGAGAGAGAACAATCTAAAGTTACGACAATTGTTATTCTTTGTTGTTTTCAATACAGTTGTTTTAATACTAATGCTCTCCGCGCGAGAGGCGACTGGTTTAATACTCTATTCTTCTTCTTTTTCTTTATTCAATGCGTGCTGCCATGTTTTCCCCTCTGTGTCGGGAACCAATCAGCACGTCGCTTGTTCGATGATCATTCCTTCGATGCTGTTGGTGTTTCCTTGCTCAAACCAAGCCAGAGGCATCGCCAGGAATATATCAAAGCTTGTTTATAGTAGGGTTTGGGGTTAAAATGACACAAATGGTGTTAGTTTGTGGAAAACCGATTTCCCGCGGTCGGCTCGGGGTTAGTAGGATGCCATATGGATTAGGAAAGCGGTTAGGATGATTAACAAAATAATAACAAAACTACTAACAGAACAATAAATCATTACGTTCGCTCTGAGTGCGAACAAAGATCATGTAAACAATTGGTTTCAGTAAAAAAAAAATAAAGGGTTGTGTCCTAGTCATGTTAGCATAATCAAACCACGGTTTATCCTACGCATGAGATAATGCATTTAAATTTAATGTAATGGTTGACAGAATTTCCCCTACATAACTACCTTGGGTTGATCAATGTTGAGTTATTTTGCTGTGATCAATGTACACTAATTTTGACATCGACATCGACTACAATAAGAAACTGACACTATTTCGTCACACATTTTTTTTGTTGATTTGCACCTCAGTATGGTACACAAAAACGCCATGCATGTTGTGGGATAACGCAATTGCCAAAAAATACATTAAATTTTTTTCAGTAGCTCCATCATTAGTTTTAAATTAGGTTTCTGAAGCAGAGAAGAAAGTGAAGATTGCATTTTATTATAACGCAACAGGCAGTTGTTTTACCTGTCAGAAGACGGTACTTTAAATATTGAACAAAATGTTGGTTCATATGTCACCGAAGTAGGGGAGGAAGGGGTATAACGATCATACGGGGCTTAAGCACCTCTTTGTTCTTCAATTTGGAGGGCAACCCTAACATAAAATTACCATGCATCATCATTATGTACTTTACAGCGTGTTCGTAGAATGATTGCAAAATAGAATACTGTGACTTTTCCTCAAATTAAACACTTGGTTTCCAATAAGTAGGTACTTAGTACAACATTAATTGAAAATTAGGGGATTCAGCTATTGAATTTCAAAGTCAGAGCAAAAGCTTGTATACAGGTTCTCCACCTGTTCAATGTTTTGATAGTAAACATCATAGTTAAGGTACACCGGTGCAAGTTGAAACAGTACGTATATCTCTTTGGAAGTGAATTTTCACTGTAATTATTTTTGAGAGGCATTGTGTACTCAGTGATTATTCGCTTTCGCTAAGAGCTACATCTACCGTTTCAACCAGATATGTTTTACAGTCAGTTGGTGGCAAATCACCCACAGAAGAACATCAAAATATTGTGAGCGATTTTCTCTCAAATTCGAAGCTCTCTGGGTAGTAGTTGGGTAAAACAATTAACGGAATTAAACTTTTTTCTACTACCCAAGCAACACGGCTTGTCATAAAGCAGTTGAAAATACCTTTCAATAACTTAGTAAAGAATCAATAATACTTTAATATACATCATTTAATACACTTATACAACATAAAAAGCGCAAGACGCGGAGCTTATATAACTAAATACTGGTCTTATACACTGGAACCTCCATTTACGAACCAAAACTGGGGTTCGTAAATCGAATTAGTGCGTAAAAAAAACCTCGTTATTTGGGATTTACTTCGTAAAAAGAAAACTCGTAGATTTACTTCGTAAAAAGAGGTTTTTGAAAATATTGTCAAATACCCCACAATATGGATATTTTTTGGAATCGGAGTGACGTGTAGGGACAGAAAATCTATGTCTGACGCCATTTTGAAATCCAAGATGGTGGCTTCCCGTTACAAGAAAACATGGAAATTCTGTCAAATACCCCACAATATGGGTATTTTTGGAATCAGAATGACGTGTAGAGACCGGAAATCCATGTCTGACGCCATTTTGAAATCCAAGATGGTGGCTTCCGGTTACAGGAAAACAGAAAAATACCGTTAAATGCACAACAATATGGATATTTTTGGAATCGGGCTGACCTGTTCGAACGTCATCACGTCATCCACCTTTAGCCGCTGACTTGGTCCTGCTTGTTACAGGACCAAGTGCCACGCCGTCCGAAGCGGTAATGATAATAAGCACGACAGCAGCGCTGTTTTATATCTTTTCAGGTTCAAGCACAGAACGATGTGCAACCGCACCTGATCGAATTTCCCGCCGTTTTTTATGAATGGGGTGGGGCAGAAAGTATCTTTTGTGCAGAATTTGTAAGGAAGGCTGAACTTCGGATGTTAATCTAATTGCATATATAGAGGTACCAGATATGTTTTACAGTCAGTTCATCATTCTCTGCTTGATCGTCAAGCAGTTCAGTTCGGTGTTAGCTCGCTCTCTCGAGTTGTTTGAAAAGTTCGTGGCGATAGTGTTCGCGCTCTCTCTTTCGCGGTTTGCCGTGCGTGTGTGTGTGCCCCGTAATGGGGAAGCATCGGTCGCGAAGCCCGGCGAAGGTCCAGAAACCCGGTGAAGGAAGCTCCGGTGTACCTACCTCGAACAGGTTTGCTGTTCTCTCCATGGATGGGAATATCCAGCCAGCTGTGTTGGAAAAACGGAGCAAGAAGAGGAAGAAGAATCGAGGCCAGTCCGATGGCACGATTGGTCGAGACGATGCCTCTGCGACGAACGGAGATTTCGGTGACGCTGCCGATAAAGAAAATGCTGCCGACATGAGCTCGGCAAGAGTGAGGCTACCTCCGCTGGTAGTGAAAAATGCCCATCTCAACGAGCTCATCGCGGATCTGGCGTCGCTGGGCGTCAAAGCCGAATTCAAATTGGGCAGAGTCGGCACCAAGGTGGTGCTCCGTACCAAAGTGGAGTATGACTTGGTCATCGCCCACCTGAGGGCTTCCAAGGTGGAATTCTTCACCCACGATATCCCCGGTGAAAAACCGTTCAAGGTCGTCATCAGGGGCCTACCAAATTTCGATCCGAAGTTTATCGAACATGAAATCAGGGACCGGTACAAGCTGGCCCCAAGTGCCGTGTATCGAATGACAAGAAGAGACGAGAATGTGAAGGCGTATCCGGATAGCCTTTTCCTGGTACACTTCCAGAAGGGATCGGTGACGCTCAACGCACTGAAAGCCATCCGGTCCATCAATTCCATCATCGTTCGCTGGGAGCCATACCGTGGCGGCCATCGCGATGTGACTCAGTGCCAGCGGTGTTTGAACTTCGGACACGGTACCCGCAACTGCAACATTAAGCCACGCTGTGGAAATTGCGCTCAAGACCATGCCACCTCCGAATGTGCTGCGGATGCAGCTGTAGCGTCTAAATGCGCCAACTGTGGTGGTGCTCACCAAAAATCCAATAAGCAATGCCCTAAACACAAGGACTTCAAGCGCATCCGAAATTAAGCGTCCACCAGCAATCAACCAGCACGAAGGGAGGATTAGGCCTCGGCTTTCAGGAAGGAGGACTTTCCACCTCTTCATGGAAAAGCGAATCCCAGGGTGCGATCCGCGCCCCCTCAAGAAAGGTCTGGATCTTCTGCTGGACAAAGCTCTCCATCCCCCCCCTGGATTCTGGAGGCAACCAACAGCTCAAACAAACAATCCCGATCTGTTCTCAGCAGATGAACTGATGGAGATTTTTATCAACATGACCGGTGCTCTACGTAAGTGCCGCAATAAGCCCGAACAGATCCAAGTGCTCGGTAAGTTCATCATCCAATATGGTGTCTAAACCGCTAACCATCGCTACCTGGAACGCTTGCTCTGTAAGAGCTAAGCAGATTGAGCTTGCCGACTTCCTCCGGAAGCATAGCATCGACGTGGGTCTTCTAACCGAAACCCATCTAAAGTCCGGCGACAGCTTCTGGTTGCCTGACCACAACATTATCTGGCTTGATCGCACCAGCTCCAGGATGGGTGGTGTTGCGGTCGTCGTCAAGAAAGGAATAAAATACCACACTCTGTCCCATATCCGTACCTCTATCATCGAGGCCCTTGGTGTGGATGTGGAGTCGTCGACTGGATACGTCCAGTTCATCGCCATCTACTGCCCTCGACAGTGTGCCGCCAGCAGTGGACTAGCGGCTAAATTCAAGAAGGACC